GCCTTGGCCATTCCAACCCCATCCATGCTCGGCAAATTGTGCGGAATTCCCTGCAGCTTGGCTCGCGCATCTCCACGGATTAGCCGGGATGCGCGCGTGGGAAGTCGCCACCTGCAGGTGGGATCGCCGCCAGGTGTTTTGCTTGAGCGGTCAAGCTTTATACCGAAGTGGCAACGTCGCATGCGCATGACCTGCGTGCCTAAATCTTCACTTGTAGCTCGCATGGGACCTGGTTACCAGAAGTAACATGGAGGTCCCACAAGTGCTATCGACATACGTAAAGCCCGAGCTTTGGTCATCAGATTCTGGATACGTTGATAACGTGGCCCCGCCAGCTTTCCAGGCAACCGAGCATGCCGGTCAACGGGCGCTGCCACCCACGGTAGTTGGTAATCCCCCGAGAGTAATCCACGCAAGTATTGTGTACCTGTAGAGGTCATAACCTCTGCGTGTGTGATACGATAGCACATGTACCCTCGAGCTCTGAGTTCAGCGCAAGCTGTTCGCATCTCTGCGATAACAAGAGCACGAGAGTGATAATGATGTGATGAGCGTTCATTTACTGCGGCGGCCACGCAGCCGGGCCCGCCGCTGTCTCTGGCGGCCTCGCAGCCGGGCCCGCCATTGTCCCTGGCGCGCGCAGCCGGCGCCCGGGAAAAGTATGCAAGTGCCCCCGCGCCTGGCGACAGATACTCAGTGTTCGGCCAGTCTGGGCAAGCGCGAGTGGCCGTGGCGCGCGCCTGCCCCCCTCACTCATGTTCAAAAGATGGGGGCGTCCAAATGCCCGTGCCATGCGCCACTGAGCCACTGCTCGAAGTGAATATATTACATTTCTCAGCAGTGCCATCTGCTCCTGCAGAAACCCATGCATTCACTCCAGCAGGTGCCCCTGCAGCGCTGTCGGGCGGCATCCACTTGCTGCCCTCCTCGCACATGGCCTGATCTACCTGCGCCTGCAAACTGCGCGAGGGGAAGTCCTGATCGGCTGGCGTAGGAACATTCCCATGGGTCGTGTTCCTGCGATCGATGCCAAGTCTTCAGGGTGTTGTTCGCCGACGACTGGATCGCATAAGCAAGTGTCTCCTCATTGATGGAGAAGCGAATGCCCTTGGTGTCCTGAGACACCATGTACGTGCGGGCATCGCTGGTAGCGGGTGTCCCCGCACTGCTTGATGCAGGTTGCCCTGCTGTTGGCTCTGCGTCAGCTGCCTCCGTGACGAGCAAGGGCGTATCTTCGCAGTGACGATTGGCTGTTATAGTGAATGCCGTTGAACCATTAACCTCCGTCGCGGCCCCGCGCTCGTCGACCTTGATCGCCGGGCGCCCTGGGGGCATCTTCATCAGATCGAGTACTCTGGCGCCTATTCCAAGGAGGAACTTATACATCTCTGAGCCAGGAATGATCATCTTCTCGCGCCCCTGCTCCAAGATCAGGATAGCCCTCATGTTGGACATGCCCCAATGGGCCCATGATGGCAGGAATATGCTCGCTGGAACCTGCAGGCGCGTTGGCCGAGTAGGTGTCCAGCCTGGCCATAGCGGGCTTCCCCGCAGGATCTCCTTGCCCCTTGCATGCGATTTTGCAATGCAATGGCTTGTCGCAGATGGCGGCGCCATGCCCCGCGCCGGGCACGTACAACCTCTTCGTTCAGTTCAGCCTCTTAACGTCGTGTCCATGGGGGCGCGGCACACGCTCGAATGTCTGTGCAGTCTTTAGACCAATGCTATTGATATTGCTGCCGAGGTCCAGTGGGATACTCAGCATGCCATCTACCATGGTCCCACTGTTCGCTGCCAGGGCCAGCTCATGGCGATCTCCGAATATCCCTGGCACGTCGGACAGCGTCGCGCCATGCGTGCCCTTACGGCGTCTCTGTTCCAGCAACCATTCATTCGTTCCTTGTCACGGACGTGAAGACGTTCAGGTACCCTCGTGCCTCTTCTTCTGCGATGGGCTGTCTCTGGAAGATCTAGGCCGACGGGTGCTCGACGTGCGTCTGGGGATGCTGTGGAGAGAGCGGCGTGCTCTCGAAAGTGTCTTCATCGGCGCGCACGGCAATCTGGCCATCTGTATTGACCATTAGCACCGTATGCAGCATATCGCGCTCTGGTATTGCGCTGGTGCCGCTGCGCGCGCTCACTGGGCTCTCAGTCCTGCGCTGACGAAGCGAAAGCCCATAGGGCATGCTGCCGCATGGTACCACCAATCAGCAGCGATGGTGATTTATTTCACCAAGTGTGCCATTTGCCTGGGTAACTTCGTACACCGCGACAAGGCGCGGAGGCTTCAGCGTGGCCACATATTCCACGCGCAATGCTGGGATCGAGTTGCTCACGCACATGTGGACCGACAGTTGGCGGGCGCTCTGGAGAAGGGCGCAAGTGAGGCACCCTGTGCTTTTTGCCAGGGTGTCGGCCTCATCGCAAAAGAGTTGCATTATGCCCTCGCTGGAGATCAGAATGCGGAAAATCGTCATGAAGAGATACTCCGCGGGGCCAATGGGCTTAGAGATCTTCGCGAAGAGCTCAACCGCATCACGGCAATGATGACAAGCAATCGGCTAAGTGTACCACCAATATTGCCAGGGGTTCGCTCAGCAATGTGGGCATGTGACCTCATGCGTTCAAGTAACGCATCACATTGTTGTTGATTGTTCGGCATTTGGTGGTTGAGTGGCTGTAGGAGTTGTTGTACACGCGACGGCCCCGCTCCTAAGACTCTGAACAGGATAGCTGTTAGGATCTGGAAATTGGGGATGTTAAAGCCTGCCGTTTCAGCCTCGTAGCGGGCTATCTCGAAGCGTGCTAAAGTCTGGTCGATCCGTTCTCCCGCATGGGCGCGAAAGTCGGCGAGAGCCGTTCCCGAATTGAGTTGGCGCTCGTCCTCTAAGTTCTCAAACCTCGTGCTAAGGAGGAACATGATGTAGGTGGCGCTATCGGTATGACGACCACCAATGTTAACGCCAAAGTTGATGACTGCGGGGGGAACTCTCGTGGCCATTGTCCGCGCAAGACCGCCCAGACCACGCTGCAGTGCTGCAACTTGTTGGGAGGTCGTCATTGTGCCTGTGGTCGCGTTGATCTAGGCACGCACCTCTCGAGCGAATTCGAGGAAAGGTACTTGACCGACTGGATCCCAGCGGGGGCCGGTTGTTCTTGCGTCGCCTCCAGCGCGCATGTGTTCCACAACGCGCCCGATAGCGACCCACATAAAAGCAAATATAATAATGCCAATTCAATGGCCCCGTAGGTCGTGGTCGGGTATTAGTGGCTGGGGTTTGTCGTGTTTTGTTTTCAGCCTGCGTGGGAGTGGAGGCGGCACAATATCGCATCGCATGTTGCCATGCATGGTATACGCAAGCAAGTTTCCAAGTGGAGTAGGTGGGTGGACTTCGGGAGTGTAGTAGCGCAGGGATGTAGGACTCGAGCAAGAAGGCCTCCGCGACAGCAGAGGTAGCACTGCAAGTGTCCTTGCGGTTGTGCGTAGTTATGTACATTCCTCCGCGCACACCCACTGCACCCTGATGTTCCACCATGTCAGTAGTCCACCAGATAGTGCCGTGGATGGTGGGGAGTAGAGCGAGAGCTTACCAAGCTTGAAGGGGGTTGTGAGGCCCAACCAGCAGCTTCGCCTAAGGCGAAGCCCATCTCCAACTCTGTTGTACCGTAGTAGCGATAGCCCAGACGTAGGAGGCCATCGCGGGAGCGACGGGCCATCTCAAGCGAAGATGTTGTCGGTCTCGATGTCAAGTAGTGTGCCTCGCGATGAGGCGCAGTCATATATTGGCGGCCGGCCGCTTGAGCCCAAGCGGCCGCGGACAAACGCTCGCTATCTGTCGCCCTTGTCCCAGCTCACTTTAGTGTCCCAGGGCCCCCCCCAGAGCTCCCAAGAGGCCCCCAAGAGAGCTCCAAGAGCGCCCCAAGAAGCCCCAATGGGCCTCCCAGAGGCACCCGAGAGGCACCCAAGAAGCCCCCAAGCAGCCTCAGAGAGCCTAAGATGACCTCCAAGATGGCTCAAGATAGCTCAAACTGGCTAAAAATTGCTCCCAAGATGCTTCAAGAGGCCCCAAGACCGCTCCAAGACGGCTCAAGATGGCCACGGAGCCTCCCCAGGAGGCCGCCAAGAAACCAAAATCCTTTGACTATGCGTGTCTCTTCCTCTCTCCCCCCGTCAGCTCCCATGGGCATCGTTTCTGGATGGGATGGTGGGGACACGCATGGGCGGGGAAGAACGGTGCCGTCTTCGGGCCCTGAAGGCCCCGTTCTGGGCCCGACAGGATTCCTTTCGGGGCGCTGGAGGGCTCCTTTTCTGCAGTCCTCGCTTCCCCCACCATTCATCGCCCCCCCACATTACGCGGCCTCTAATTTTCTGGTCATAGCTCGGCTCTCCAGCGGCCCTTCGCGACGATCCAGGCACCCCCAGAGCGCTGTCGGCGAGGCGCAACCGCTGGGAGGCATCCCGAGGCTGGAAAACCGCCGCCGAGAACCCACGAAAATGTCAGAGATACTCGAACCTCGACCCCCCCCGAACAACTGGTCCCCCCTGACGTTGCTTAGAGTCCTCCTAAATGGGGTCCGAGCAACCTCAGCCTGCAATCAAGGGCCCCCCCAGTGCTGTCGTTAACACCGCAACGAAAACAAATAATCCGCGGGGACGCACGTAAACAATCGTTGCACCCCCCGCCACCGCAAATACTTCTTCCTTCCTTCGACACCGGAAGGGGGGCTTCTTGATTGCAGGATGAGGTTCGATGGGGTCGGAAGATCGCGCTGCATCGCCGATGCATCGACGATGTACTGGCAATGCACCGGCGACGTCGGCGAGGCATCGGCGATGCATCGGCGCCGTCGGTGTGGAGAAAATCGGGCCACACATCGAGCCGCATCGCCGATGCATCGCCGATGCATCGTCGATGCGGCGCGATCCTCCGACCCCATCTATTCGGACCCACTCGGGAGGCCCAGACCAACGCTGCCCCTGATCCCCGCGCGGGGCGCGCCAGCTTCTTCTGGCCGACCTGCGCGCCCTGCTTAGCCTTCTGCACCCGCGGCTCCTGCCCCAGGTCCTGCCGCGCCGCTCACGGAGGGCCTCCCAAGGCGGGAGCGCGTGCCGTCGAGAGGTGACCGGGCCACGGGGGCGAGCCCACCGCGCTTCGCTCCCGTCGCCGTGGCCTCCGCCGCCGTCGGCGCCGTGTGCGCCCTTCGCCGCCGTGGCCGTCGCCACCTCCGCCGCCGCCGTCGCCGCCGCCGCCGCTGGCGTCGTCGTCGTCGTCCTCGAAGCCTCGGGGATCGGGGCCGGGTCTGTGGGGCGCCCTCTGCGCTCCTGGATGGCTGTCTGCGCGGTCACTCGCCCAAGTCCTGGCTGGCTCCTCATACACTGTGGTCACCGCACCGTTGGTCGGGAACGCACTGACCTGGGTCCATGCGAACCCTGGTTAGTTGGGCATGGGAGGACTCTGCAAAAAATCCTGGAAGATCCTGCGCGCTCGCCCGGGTCGGTACAACCCTGGCTCTGCAGGATCCTGCCAAGTCTGGCGCTCTGGCTGACCACCGTGCCCCCCGTGTCTACCAGCTCGATTTTGGGCTCCCCCCCAGGAGGTCTGTGAGATCGATGTTCGCGGGCGCCTCGCCCCCGGCGCGGCGCGGAACCTGGATAGCCGTCTTGAAGCCCCGCCGGCTGAGGGCATATATGATCGCGGGCTCCGGGCCCACGGCCCCCACCCCCCCAGATGGGATGGGTTCCAGGGTCCTCGGGCCCCCCCCCCAGATGGGATGGGGGGGAAGGAGGAGGACGAGGAGGAGGAGGACGACGACGACGGCGACGAAGACACCGTCCGCTCCGGCTCCCTGAAGCACGGGAACACAACGCAACACCCAGATGGAGGCGACGACGGTGAAGACACCGTCGACGACGATGCTCCGTTTCCTGCTCCCCCCATCCGCCTCTCTCCCTCCTCTTTTTTGGCCCTCTCTTCCCTACCTTGCTCTCTCCTCCCGCTCCCTTTCCCCAAGTAGCCGCCACTCTCCGTCGGCCAAGGCTGAGGACGACGACGATGGCGAAGACGCCGACGCCGACTCTTGGCTGAGGCGGACCCCTAACCACTCCCACAGTGGGGGACCCCGCACACCCACAGGGGGGACCCCACACCACTCCCACAGGGGGGGGGTCACCACGCCACGCCCACGCCCAGGGGGGGGGCATCGCACGGGGGGGGGGGGGCGATGGCGTTAGCATTGGAGGGGGGGGGGCCAAACCCTCGACCATATATCCCAAACTGTGCGGTCACCGCCTGTCTTAGATCGGGCATGTCCTTCTACAGTCGGCGGGTTTTGGACGAACGGTAAAAATAGCGAACCAATAATCAAAAAGAGTCAAACGAACACGAAACATCGTCACCTGATTATCTTTTTACGATTATTGTATCTTCCTCCTGTAGAGGAGCAGGCCCAACTGAACCCAAGTCCTCGCTGGCTCATCACACGGTGTGGTCACGGCCGCCCCGCGAGGTCTGTGGGACCATACGTGCGTGGGCGCCCGCTCCCTCCGGCGCGGCGAGCCGCCTGGATGGCCGTCTTGCCGCCCCGCCGGCTGAGGGCATATATGAGCTCGATGCGAAGCGCCTTGGGGGGGGGGGACATGGCGCGTCCGCTAGGTGCCAGGGGGAGGAGGGAAAAAGAAGAAACACTTCGCGGGGGCCAAAAGAGGAAGAGGAGGAGGAGGATGAGAACGGGGAGGAGGAAGAGGAGGAAGAGGAGGGGGAGGAGCAGGAGGAGGACCAGTATAAACCCAACAGTCACCAACGATGTTGGAATAAAACCTCCCCCCAAGTTCTCTCTTCACAGGCCCCATATATCGGTTCATTTCCACTGAAGGAACTGCCTCGTTGGAAGACAACTGTTAGAAAAGTCTGAAGCATGCCGCATCACTGCTCTCGGGATTCCAGCGCCACGGATCAACGTGACTGTTGCATCGTGACGATCCTGACTCGTGCTAGAATTCCGTTCCTGGGACTTCAACGCGGCGAAGCAACGTAACTGTTGCACCCCCATAATCCAGAACCCATCCAAAACGCCATTTCTGGTACGCTGATCAGGGGAACCCGTGGAAACCTGATAATATTTCAAACGAGTGCGCTCGGCACTAAGGCGAGAACCACATTTTGGAAAAGATCCCCCTTCAATCCGTGAAGATCGTGTACACCCTTAGAAAGAATGCACGCGGCGCAAAAGCGAAAACCACATTTTCACAAACCACCCGCCCTCGTCCCGTGAAATTCGTGCATTTGTTTAACGAATGTGCGGCGCTTGAGCGAGAACCACATTTCGAAAACGACCCGCCCCCAATATGTGAAACTTCTGGCCCCCCTTGCCATCCGTGAAAATCTGGCACTTTGTTGAAACGAATGTACGCGGCACAAAGACGAAAACCACATTTTGAAAACCATCCACCCTCAATCCGTAAAGATCTTGCACTCCTTGAAATGCGCGCGGCGCAAAAACGAAAACCACATTTTCACAAACCACCCGCCCTCGTTCCGTGAAGCTCTTGCATTTGTTTAGCGAGTGTGCGGTGCTTGATCGAGACCCACATTTCGTGAAGATCTGGCGGATGTTTGAAACGAGTGTATGCGGCGCAAAAGCGAAAACCACATTTTGAAAGCCACCCGCCCTCAATCCGTGAAGATCTGGCATTTTTTAACGAATGTGCGCGGCGCTACGGCGAAAACCACATTTTGAACACCACCCGCCCTCAATATGCGAAACCCTTGCAATGTTTGAAACGAATGCGCGCGGCGCTTCGGCGAGAACCACACTTTGAAAACCACCCGCCCTCCATCTGTGAAGCGGTTGGCCAATGTTTAATCTTCAGGGCCATATATGGTGAGGAGGTCTCAAGCGAAATGCCCGACACGCCTTTTTCGACCGGCCTCGGAGTGCGACGTGGAGGAGTTAAGGGCAAGGAGTGGAAGATGAGGGCGAGAAGGAAGAGCCCGAGGAGGAGGAGGAGGACCTGTGTAACCCAAAACTCATCAACGATGTTGGAATACACCTTCCCTCCAAGTTCCATCTTCACAGGCCCCTGCAAATGACTGAAATAATTGCCCTTTGGGAGACAGCCGTGTGAGCATCTTGAGCCGTTCCAAAACACCATCATCATGACTTCAACGCCACGAACGAACCTGGCTGTCACGTCTTAGCGATACTGAATCATGCCAGCATACCATTCGTGGGGCCTCATCGCCGCGAATCAACTTAAGCGTTGCGCCCTGACAGCCCTGAATCGTTCCGAACACCAACTCTCAAACGCTAAAAATGAAAATCAACGGCACTCGTGCCATGTATTCAACGGGCGCGCACGGCGGAAAGGCGAAAACCACACCTTGAAAACGAGCGGCCTCAATCCGTGAAGTTCCTGCAAATGTTTCACAGGAGTATGCACGGCGCTGAAGCGAGAACCAGTTTGTGAAAACCAACAACTCTCAATTCATGAATCGTGAAGCTCCGACGAATTCCTGAAACGGTTGCGCGCGGCGCTGAGGCGAGAACCGCACTTTGAAAACCGCCCGCCCTCAATCCGTTAAGCTTTCACACATTTTAGAACGAACGCGCGCGGCGCTAAAGCGAGGGCAGCATTTTGAAAGCCACCCGTTCTCAAAATGCGAAGTTCGCGCGAATTCTTGGAGCGAGTGCGCGCGCGCCAAAGCGAAAGCCATAGTTTGAAAACCAGCCGCCCTCAGTCCACAAAGCTCTTGCAAATGTTTGAGGCAAATGCGCGCGGTGCTTAAGCGAGAGCCACGTGCTGGGAACGACGCGCGCTCCATCGGCGAAGCGGTTTCCAATGTATTAATACTCGAGCTCATAAATTGCGGGGGAACTCTCAAGCGGAAAACCTGGCCCGCCGTTTCGACGGGCCTCGGGGCGCGACGCGGATGCGCGAGGAAAAACAATGGAACAGGGAGAGGAGGAGGAGGAGGAGGAGGAGGAGGAGGAGGAGGAGGAGGAGGAGGAGGAGGACTTGACTGGGCTGGAGCAATCGCGAAGCGATGGGGCACGTCACGCTGACCTTGTCCGAGCCCGCGGCGGAGAGCAAGGACTCGACTGCGATCTCTGGATATGCCGGCGCTGAAATAAACAGATACTAGAACGGGCATGGCCATAAGACCTGAAAGCTGAAGCGTACGGCACGCGTGGATGCCGTAAATGAATCCCTCCAACACGCCACGTCCCAGAACGAACCAGGAACAACAACGACGCTCAATGCTGGCACATTCCACACACTTGGCCAGACAAAGCGCATGACCCGCACCGCGAATCGAGGTGGCTAAAAAAAGTGCCACACAGCTGCGCCGGCATGCGAATCGCAACGCGTGAAAAACGAGATGCGCAGAATACCCTTGCTAGGGAAAAGCCACTTTTCCAAGCACAACCATCCATTGAAGTACGCCCAGGCGGGAAGCGTTAGGTCGGTGCACGCAGCCTCCCACTGTCCCGCCCGCCTGGGATGGATGTCGAAGAGACCGAGCAGGAACGTAACAACCATAAGTATATGTACAGCGTGCCGAAAGGCACCAGTGCGCAGCAACCCCAGGAACCAAAAAATAAGCTATTGTTACTCCGCCTCGCCCCTGCAAACACAAATAGCTTGAAGACCGAAGGCGAGAACTGGTACACCTAGGCGGGAGACGTTGGGTCAGTGCGCAACGGCTCCCAGTGTCCCTGCCGCCTGGAATGGATGCTGAAGAAGAGGTGCAGGACAACAGCCCAGAATAATATGCGCAGCAAAACACAAGATAATGATGCGCGAGTGTTCCCAGAAAGAACAACACCGAACATCGATAGAAACTTGCTCCGTTTAGCCACTGGGATGGCTGTCCAAAACCGTAGAGGTTGACACAAGTTCAGCTGAGGCGAAATCGGCTCGATGCGGCCCTTCTTCAATGATGTGCAAACACCACTGGTCATCGGGCAACACCCAACAGGGATCGCCTCCTCCACAGGCAGCCCCACAATAGCAGCACAAAGACGAAAGGATGCTACCCAGTGCCCCTCAAGCGCCGACGTGGAGGCACGGAGCTAGGAGTCCCATTGCAAGTTTGAGCCAGATTGTTTACGACACGCGCCTCGGGCCCCCTGTGCTTGAGGGAGGAGGAGGAGGCGGCGGCGGAAGAGGAAGAGGAGGAGGAGGAAAATGAGGAGATGGAGGATGCGGAGGAGGAGGAGTAGGAGGAGGAGAAAAAGGAGGAGGAGAAAAAGGAGGGAGGGGACTAGGAGGAGGAACGCGAAGGAACGCCTGGATTCGCCTGTCTGATCCGCTCAACCGTGTGCGTGCCAGCTGGGACGACGGTGGCCACCCCAGCCATCCCCAAGCTTTTCCTGGGCATCGTGTGCAGCGCCCATATGCTATCCTCGATGGGGGGGATCCACAAAGCCTGGGATGCTGACCGCAAGGCTACTCCGAATTTTCTAATGCACCGCAGGTGGGGGAGGGGGAGGGGGGAGGGAGGGAGGAAGGGAGGCGGATTTCATATGTTTTCTGTGTTTCCTCCTCGTGTTCCTCCTCTTCCTCCCTCTCCCCCTCCTCCCTCTCCTCCTCCTCCTCCCTCTCCTCCTCCTCCTCCTCCTCCTCCTCCTCCTCCTCCTCCTCCTCATATTTCTCCTTCCCCATCTTCGTTATTTTCCTTCTCCCTCTTCCTCTTCCATCCCCTCCTCCTCCTCCTCCTCCTCCTCTCCTCCTCCTCCTCCCCTCTCTTCCCTCGTCCTCCTCCGTAATCATGGTGGAGCGAGCCACTGTGGCTCAAGAGCTTGCTCGCCCCTGGCTCGAGCTGGCAGCGGTCATGGCCGACGCGACGGCGGCAGCATTCCTCAGCGTGGTTGTGCGAGCTGGCAGGTCTCGCCAAGTGGTGGCGGCCACAGCGGTGGCTCTCTGGCGGGCGGCCCGTGCCGAGGCTTGCAGCACGCAGGTGGAGGAGAGGGGGACGGGCGAGGAGGTGCAGAGGCGTGTGGAAGTGATCAAGCCCGTCCTTCGCGCGAAGGTCGAGGTCCTGATTAACGACCCGCCGCTCGTCATCGACGGCGGATCAAAGCGCAACGGAACATAAAAATGGGAGTGCCGGCGCGGAAGGCGAGACCACGGAGGTCCCCATCGCCCCCGAAATAAATATGCAAAACTACCAGAAGGAACAAAGGAACGGGACTCCGTGGTCGAGGCGTGCGAGTGGCTCCTGGACTTGAATGAAAAGGTCACCGCCCTCGTGGACATCCTGGCGACTGCGGAAAAGGCCCAGAGGATGGCCGTGGAGACGGTGTTCGACTTGGGCCCCGAAGTCCAAGAGCTACCACCAGGATGAAAGAGCAGCAGGTGCAAATCTCGACCATCGTCGCGGTGCCCGTCGACAAAGGCGGACGTGTGGCGGTGCCCCCCGGATCGGGCACCCCACGCTTTTTCCAGGATCGAGGTGGAACGGAAGGTTGGGCCCCCAAGGTTGTCAATGTTGGCTTGGTGCTCTCACTGGTGATGTTGGCGGGTTCAGAGGCCTGTGCCGCGTGTGCGGCATTTTTTCGAATCCGCTGGGTTGAGTCCTCTTCCTCCTCCTCCTCCTCCGCCTCCTCCTCCTTCTCCTCCCCCATCACTTTCCATTGTGCATAACTTCTCCCTGCCGCATCCCCAAACGGGAGGGTAGGGCGGGCCAGGCCTTTCACTCGAGATTTCCTTATGATCTAGGACCCTGATGTTTGAAAGTTGCAACAGCTTCAAATATTGAAGGCGGGTGTGCTTCAAGATGTTGCTCTCGCCCCAACGCCGCGCACATTCGTCTGAAACCTGTGCACCAATTTCAACGATGTAAGGCGGTCCGTTTTCAAGGGTGGTGTTCGCCTTGCCGCCGCCGCGCACATTCGTCTAAAAAGTGTGCACCAGTTTCAAGTTGGAGCGGCCTGTGTTCACAATGTGGCTCTAGTTTCAGCGCCGCGCAAATTCGTCTGGACAATGAATAGCAGCTTCAAAGATGATGGGTTGATTATTTTCAAAATAAATAGGGCTCTTGCCTTTGTTGCGGCTCGACTTTTCCTCCTCCAGTAATTGTGTCTTAGCACGATTGTGGATCCTCAGACAACTGCCTTCCGATGAAACACTTCCCGCACTGAACGCAAATTATGGTCGGGACGTTGAAAACGGAACTTGGAAAACTGGCTTTCTTACAACATCGTCTACGCGCCTTGGGTTTGCACTTGTCCTCGTCCTGATCCTCCGTCCCAATATTTTTCCGTATTAGCAAGTCCTCCCTGTCGCACCCCCAAGCGTGTGGGCAGGGCGGTCCGGGCGTGTCGCCTGAGACTTCCTCACCTCTGATGATCCTGGAGCTTGATGTGTGCAGAAATCTCAAGGATTGACGCCAGCCCGTTTTCGAAATGTGGCTCCGGCCCAAACGCCGCGCCCATTCGACTGAACAGTATGCAGCAGCTTCAAACATTAAGGGCGGCTGATTTTCAACATGTGGCTCCTGTTTTAGCGCCGCATCTTAAACGTTTGCAAAATATTCAAAGATGGAGAACGGCTGGTTTACAAAAGGTGTGGCTCTCGCCGCAATGCAGAGCACATTCGTCTTACAAGCCTGCAGCCGTTTCGAACATGGATGTATTTTCTTCTTTTCCAAGCCGTGGCCCTCGCCTAAGCCCCGAGCGCACGTGTCGTACTCTATTGCAGCAATTTCGCATGGGTGACTGTCCCGAGAATGCTGTTCAAACGCGATTTAGGACTGTCAGGATGCAACGATCACGCAGTTTTCTCTGCTGGATGAAACCTGGGAGCTGGTTTCTGGCACGATTTACGGTTGTCAGGACGCAGCGGTCGCGTTGATGCTCGGCGTTGAAGTCCCAGGGATGGTGTTTGGCAATATTGAAGATTCCCAGACGGTTTTCTTCCTGTGGGGCGCTTCACGCGGTGAACATACAAATTTGTAGGGGCCCATGAAGAAGGAACTTGGGGAGAAGGCTCGTTGCAACACCGTCGACGCGCCTTTGGTGGTCTACCATGGTGCTCTCCTCCTCCTCCTTCTCCTCCTCCTCCTCCTCCTCCTCTTCCTCCTCCTGCTCCTCCTCCTATTGTGTTCCTGGGTTCTTGGTGGCACGAGTGTCTTCAAACGTTCCTATCCCCCCCCCCTGGGCCAGTCGGCCCTGGGGTGATCCAACCATTATTCCTGGCGACCCGCGCAGGGTCGCTGGCGGTGTCTGTAAAAACTAAAAGCAACAAACGAAGCGCAGAGGGGGGGAGAGACGACGGCTGGGGGGAGAGAGAGAGAGAGAGAGAGAGAGAGAGAAAAAGAGAGAGAGAGAGAAATAACATAAACAAATAGAGAGAGAGAGAGAGAAGAAACAAACAAAACGAGAAAGACAAACAGGGAGAGAGAGAGAGAACTACATATGTATAACGAGAGAAAGAGAGACAGAGAGAACAAGAGAGAGAGAGAGACCGACAGACAGACAGACAGACAGACAGACAGACAGACAGACAGACAGACAGACAGACAGACAGACAGACAGACAGACAGACAGACAGACAGACAGACAGAGAGGGGGGTGGGAGACAGGAGGGGAGAGGGAGGAGGGAAGAGCAGCAAGTTTATCCTGGTCCTTGTCTTGGTCGTCCTCGTCCTTGTCCTCGTCCTCCCCCTTGTCCTCGCCCTCCCCGTCCTCCTCCTCCTCCTCCTCCTCCTCCCCCTCCTCCTCCTCCTCCTCCTCCTCCTTCTCCCCCTCCTCCTCCTCCTCCTCCTCCTCCTCCTCTTTCTGCGAAAGCCAAAGCCTGGTCTATGCTGGCGCGCGCGCACTCCCCCTGAGCACGCAGCTGGCCGCGAGTACAAGGCAGCCGACCACGACGATGAAGGCAGCCACCACGACCCTGGTCCTCCTCCTCTTCTTCTCGATGATCCTCCGAACGTGTGTTCGCGCGAACGGGTGCTTGCCCACCAACGCCCTTCGATACGTTCGCGGGCGGTGCGACGGAGCCAGCACAGGCTGCGCGCTATCGGCGGAACTGAAGCGGACAAACGCACGCTTGATCTGACACACGTCCTGAGGACCGCGGATCCTCCCTAGGCGCCTTCTCCCCTAATTTCGGGCGGCAGCGGGGGCCCGGAGGCCTGAACCTTCTCGCGGACTGTGCACGGGTCCTTGATCCTAGCGGCGCGCGGGCGCGCACAGGCGCTCGACACCCCCGACCACGCAGCTGCCCCGCTCCTCCTCCCTCCTCCCTCCTCCCTCCCTCCTCTTCCCTCCTCCTCCTACCTCCTCATCCTCCCTTTTCATCCTCCTCCTCCTCCTCTTCCTCCTCTTTTTTCCTCCTCCTCCTCCTCGTCCTCCCTCCTCCTCCTCGTCCTCGTCCTCGTCCTCCCTCCTCCTCCTCCTACTCCTCCTCGTCCCCACGCTTCCCTCCTTCCTCCTCCCTGCTCCTCGCCCTCGTCCTCCTCCTCACCCTCCTCCTCCTCGACTCGACTTTTCAGTCCTTGAGCCGAGGTGTTGTACAGCACACATCCTCTGCTCTACTTCTCTCTATCATCATTTCACATCGCTACTACGACCCTGTCTCTCTCACATGTCGATGTTCTGGATATTCAGAGTCCGCTTTCACCCTCTTCAATCTATCTTATGTAGTCGGAGCGTGGTGTCACAGACCTTTGGGTATGATATCCATCTTGTTCCAATCATCGTTGTCATTTTCTTCCTCATAGCATGAGAGGAACTCCAGTAGGGAAATCTTGTCGTCGTCCAGCTCCAACGATTCGCCAACGTCGTTAGAGCTTACCTCGTAGTTGTTGTCCTTCAAGTCCTGCTCGGTATATGTAGCCGGACGTCGCACTCCCCGTCGTAATCTGATGCTTCTTTCTTTAAGCTCAATCTTCCACTCACCAGTAGTCAAGAAATGCATGTAAATCGGCGAAAGCATCTTCTTGGTCAGCTGGTCTGCCAACATCACTGTTGTCGGTAAATGAATGATATTTCTGATCCTCCTTGTCAGTCGATCTTCACGCAGTGCTAAAATACCAACTCGATGGTGTTTATCATTTGGTAATGACTTGGAGAAACATATGAGCTCGAAGAGGTTCATCGCATCGGTACACACGTCCACTGGAATCAGGTGCTGAGAACGTAGGTGAACTTCCAATAGGTCGCGTGCCGTGGGTGTCTTGCCGAATACTGGAAGGTACTCCAACTCCGTGATCCGTGATGCTATAATGTTTGCCATTGCCGCGCAAGAAACCGCAGGGATCGTCTCTGAATGAGAGGTCGACCATGAAACTCTCTGAGACTTCTTTGAGCTGAGAATCAATGGGCATGCCACTCCACCGAAAACTCGCGCTTCTTCTCCATAGTATTGCTCTTGACTTCCGTGGCGTAGTGCTGCATGATCCTTTGCCAACAGAACGATGCGCGCTTCCTGTGGATAGCAGGTCGTGCTGGTAATATGGCCGCTGTCTGTCACTTGAACCAGTCGCCGCTGTGGTCCAACATATCTGAAATGAAGTCCATTCATCTCTTGATTAGCCGAGGCCTGCTTCAGCACGCTGTTCAACTGCTGGACGTGGATGCCCTTCGGGTTGATCATCTCGGTCTGGAGTTGAACAATCTCTTGAAGGATGTCACCCCTCGTCTTGGTCAGCCATAGCATGCTCATCAGCAATGAGCGAAAAGAGCTGTGATCCTTATCGCAAAGCTCGGCCGTGTCCGCAGTCTTCTCGACCAAGGTGATAGGCTTGAGTCGAATCAGGTACGGCTTCTGGTGCAGGAAGAAGTGTCCCGCTCTGATCTTCTCGTGAACAATCCCACACCATGTGAAAGGTAACGTATGCTGTTTCAGTTTGCCAAACTTTCGCTCAACTTGTTGCTGCACCCAGGAAATCAAACTCTTCATTGCCAATACTAACAAGTCATCAACGTGTAATACAATGATACAGGCAAGAGTTGCTCCAGTCTCGTCAAACTTGTACAGGAAGTTGTCGTCGTGCAGCGACTTGTAGAACTTGAGCTCGCTCAAGAGAAAGTGTAGGAAAGCCATCTGAAACAAAATCGGTCCATCCACCAATCCGTACATGGCCTTGTTCAGCAATAGAACAAACAGTGATCGCTCCACGTCCTCAACCGTCGTGAATCCGACCATCCGTAGATGTCGCCATACGTTGGCTGGAGGTTGTAGCCATACTGTTCGAACCTTCTTGCATTCATGTCCAAGTTCCTTGGCCCTCGCCTCGATCTCCTGGAAGCGTAAGCCCTGCAAGAATGCCGTCGAAACGTCGAAGGCTTCGCAATCCCAGTAGTACTGAGCTCCAAGAGTGATGGCCAACCGGTGTGACAATGCTGATGCCGTTGATGAATGTCGATGTACTCCTTTGCGTTGTACGTCCATGAAGCCACGTCCACACATGCGTGATTTGACTTCTGGTGGGTGTCTCGTTTTCCACTTGCGTACCCATACTGCGTCGATCGTGTTGGTACTGTGCTTTGCCAGGTCCAGGGTAAACACTTCATGAGATACGATGGATGCTATCTCTTTTCTGTCTCCTTTCTCCACGTGCTCCCAGTGCTTGATGACGTCGTCCTCTGTCAAGAAGTCCTCTTGAGTGACAGAGAAACATTCGTCTGCAAGAATGTCATACCAAAAGCAAGTCTCCTTCTGCCAGGGCCCTGGAATAACCAAAAACGATTCCTGTGCTGTCCAAGCTGCATTGCCTGCCCTGGCTGAGGTGAGCCAGCTCTGAACTCTGCCGGCGTCTTCTGCCGCATGCGTCATCGGGTCGAAGTCGTCAAATGGAGAGGTGTCCCGCATCTCATTGATCTTGGAAGTTGAGACACAGTACTGATACCATGACGGAGGTGCCACCGAAAAGAGAGCTTCTCCTTCAGGATATTCGATGGTCTTATCAGCTGCTCCTTCTGGATATTCAATAGTTTGGTCAGCTGCTCCATCTGGATATTCGATAGTTTGATCAGCTGCTCCATCTGGATACTCAAGTGTCTGGTCCAATGTAGCTTCTGCTGCTGCGTCTGCTGCTTCTGGTGCTGGTACTGGTTCTGATGATTCCACTGAGCTCGATGGTAAGCTCGGTGATGCTGGTGATGGTCCAGTTCGTGCTCGCTTATCGTCTTGATGTTCCATCGGCGTCGGAGGCGGATGCAACAATGGTAGTACTGGCTGTTGATTTTGAGGTTCGCCGCTAGGCTGGCCTGGGTCTGCCACAGGTGACTCAGGATCGAAGAGCTTCTTCTCGGGAACTTCGTCGATCTCAACCCGCTTTATCTCTGCACGAGTCCTCGACCTGGTACTTGATACGCTTTCAGGTGACTTGAACTTCGGTCCAGCTGAAGCCACTGGAGAATCTTGCTTCTCGATGGTCTGAGGAGGTGCTGGCCATGGAAATGCCGTCGGACGTTCCAAAATCCTTGATCTTGATCTGTCTGCTGCTGACGCCGTTGAACTCGATGATGTAGACGTTGGAGCTGAATCCATCTGTGCTTCTGGCATTGGACTTTCCGAGATCGGTATCTTCGCTGGAGGCGGACTTGGATGTTGAGGAAACTCTGGTGGTAGTCCATAGACTCGTGATCGTGATCTATCTAGCTCTGGTGAAGCTGCCGCTTTGACCTTCGCTGCTCCAGGTTCCGGCGGATCATCTGGTGGTCGAACTGGTGACTGTGATACTGCCACGTCTTTGAAGGTAGGCGGCGGTGTCAGATGCCGCTCTACTCTTGAACGCGATCTGTCCAGTCCAGGAGACCTGGGTTCCATGATCTTTACTGCTGGAGCCGGAGGAGGTCCAGGTGAAGGTGCAGGAGGTGGAGTCGGTGCCTGCTGCTCCATGCTCTGGTCAGGGCTGTATGTCAATGATGGTGATGACATCGTGGTGTTATTCAGTCCTGGTCCTGCTGGTGGATACTGAGGCTGCTGCGGTGGTGCTGGAGGTGCTGCTGGCGGAATCCGTGACTGCGGGCTTGGAATGTAAATCACACTGTCGTCGTCAAGCGGTGCTGGAGTCCATGGAATTGTTGATGGGCTCCACATCGGACTTAAGTCAGGAAGAGCAGTATCATCCCTGAAGTAGTCAGGTGCCGCAATCTGATAAGCCACCAAGAAGCACTTATCTGAATGACTGCCTCTTGAAGCCAGTGAAACTTTGGTGCCTGGCCTGATATCAGCAATCGTGTATTGATCCCGCAGCTGCTGTGTCCACTGCATAAGGCGCCCGTAATCCACATTGATCAGCGGCTCGGTGTGCCTCACACCGTAACCGAACTGAACTCCATCGATGCTCAAGTTGAGTAGGTCTTGAGCTGCCTGACGAGCGTCTGCCAGAATACGAGGAGGTCGCTCCTCCAGGTCCTCGGGTACGTTGATGTACTGCTGCGCCTTCTGGTCCCACTGTCTGCCGTAAGTGTAGACCTGTCCAAGAACATGGTCCTCGACTTGGTCCATAAGTGAGGCGATGAGCTGCTTGCTGGTGTCGCTGGTCGCGGTGCTGATCTGAGAAAGCCACACGAAACCGATATGAGGCCGAACGTGTCGTAGTGGAACCAACATCGGATGGCCACGCCAGATGATGATCGCCTTATTCTCTTTGCTGATACATTTGACCATTTCCGCTGGGCCTCGCCATCCGCTCTGATCCTTGGAGGTTGGTTCCCTCCAGAGATCCACCTTCGCCTCTGGCTCCTCGATCTGCTTGAGTGTCTCCGGCGCATACTGCTGCGGCTTGGTATTCGCCGCTTCCGCGATGCGGTGCTCTATGACTGCCTGGATGATGGCCTCCTTCGCGTGCAGCCTGAGGCGGATCTGGGACTCGATCGAGTCCGGAAGTCCAGCCTTCGCATCGCTCGTCGCCGAGATCGCCGTGTTGTCGTGATGGTAGAAATCGCGAGGCTCGTAGCCCAAGAGGGCCTGATTCGGCGTCGAACTCCCATAGACCAGAACCGAGTTGGAGCACAAACTCGCCTCAAGTACGCAATCATCTTGGCTCTTACGAATGCCCTGCTTCTGCACCTGCGAGTAGAGCTTGAGAGCCGCGAGCTTGATGAGGCCGAGCCGCCTTTCAGCCAAGCCAGTTCTGGTATGTCCTTCTGATCCTTGAAGGTCGCGTTCGATGTCGTAGGCCTCGCATGCTTTGCCGATGAAGTCGCCAATCACTGCGCCTTCCTGGTCGGACACAATAACTTTTGGTGGTCCAAAATAACGTGCCCAACATCTCAGAAAGACTTGGTGCCATGTATCAGCGTCCTTAGTGATCAGATGGTCGCAGCACGCCCAATGAATAGCTTCGTCCACGAAGATAACGTACATACGACCCCAAAGTGTAAATATGTCTGTCTGTACTCGATGATTGAAGTGCGTTGCCAAGATGGTGCCTGCTGATTTCGGCTTTGTCAACGTCCTTCTCCATCCTGCGCAGATCTTGCACTTGGCTATCGTTCCTGGTATTAAATCAATCACATGTTTTGAGAACTTGCCACGTCCCAGGAAGATTACCATTTCGCTGGCCGGAAGATGCCACATCTTGTAGTGAAGACCCATCAGTAGCTTCTGGGCCTCCTTCGTCGTGATCTTGGGATCCTCGAGCTTCCGCCTGAGCATCCTGATGTTGAAGGATGGCTCGATGTAGTCAGGAAGATCGGCAACCTTAGGCATGCCCTCGATGGGTTTGTCGTCGAGTGGCTGAACGGGTGCCGCAGGTGGTGCTTGATCGGGCTCAGGAGGTGCTGCCTGTGCCGAACTGTTATCAGTGGAAGCTACTGGCTCCACTGCTGCTGGAGCTGGTACGTGAGGTGCTCCAGTGTATGGGTTCTTCAGCGGTAGTGGCGTCGCCCCAGCCGGCGGTGCTGGCGCTTCTGGAGGAAGAGGTGCAGGTGCTGGAGCTTGAGCTGATCCCGGTAGTGGAGGCCGTCCAACAATCGCTCGGTTAGGCTCTTGAGTGTCTTTGAACCTGCAGCCCTCTGTCCGAGTGTGGACCGGCGTAACTCGCATATCAGTGCCAGGATAGCGAGCTCCATGCTTGCACCGATCGCAAGTCCAGAAGACCATCAACGATAGACAACCTTCTTTGCCGTGCGTAAACTGCCATACATCAGCGCCAATCGCTGTGCAAAGATTCCAGGGATATACTGCTGCCGTAGCTGTCCTCCAGGTACTGGTTCCTGGAATCTTCCCAGATAACTCTCCATGAAGAGGGCACTTGTTCTCGCCAGTGCATCGCAATAAGGTGGACTGGCTGATCTCGATATTCGCGTAGTCCAGGATGGTCGTCTTCTTGTTGGGCAGGCCTCGGCTGTCGATGTCCTTGGCTCCATGTTGACACTGATCAAGTATCGCCGAGGTGGTCTGCTTGTCATTATGAATTGACGCGAACGGGCTCTCCGTGAGCAACTGTGACCCGTGAGGTGTCTCCAAGATGAAGGCTCGGGTCTTCTGCTTGGACTCGAGAACTTGTCTGCAGCGATACGTTGTCCACTGAAGGCCTGCTCGCTCTTCTTGTCGTGCTCGTGCTGTGGTTTCTGCTTTAGACGTAGTGTTGGCCTTTGACCAAGGAGAACATCTTGGGGAAAAGAACTGTACTGAGATCCCCAGATTGTCGTGTATCTCATCCAGGATATGTTGATGATCTCGTAGGCCTGTATCCCAGCCATACCTATGGTCAACTGGAAATCCTGCATTGAGTCGCAGATGAAGAGCTGCCAACGAAAGTCGTGATGATCCTGAGCAGATCTCCTGAATGTCTAGTCTGTGACCTAGCTCGTTGACTTCCATGGCCGGCGTGACGTGGTGCAGCCGCTGGAGTGCATTCAGCGGGGTCACCACTGGAAGAGAACTGCCATTGTAGAAATCCTCTGGCATGCACGTGTAGTACTTCTCAGCATCTGTCTTGCGCTTTGAGTTCCAGTGTTGAGGCCAAATGCCAACTGAATATTTCTGACCAGGAAACTCCATCCATGCTTTGTAGAAGCCATTCTGAGGTATTCCTTTCCAGACAGGATGCTGACCTTGAGGAGGTACTGGTACTGCGTGCGTAGCTCCATACGTCGGAGATGATCTGCTGCTTTCCGTTGGTGTCGGTATCGATCTCGTCGGTGGTGTCGGTAGTGCCAAAGCTG